AATTTATCAATACAGGTGAAAAAGTAAAACATCCCAAAGAATTTACATGTATCCAAAAGTCAAAACAAATGTGAATATTTGAATTTGTTCTGCGTTAGTCCAACGTAATAATCAGTAATAATCCAGGGTAATAGTCACTGAGAGTATCTGCTTATTCTATCAACCACTGCAAATATCATACACATAATGAAATAATTATGATGGCATTACCTGGTTCGTCTGTTGTGGTTGTATCTGTTGTATAAAAACGTAGAATATATTAGACATTAAATGAAATTCATCAATACAGGTGAAAAAATAAAACATCACAAACAATCTTAATGTATCCAAAAGTCAAAACAAATGTGAATATTTGAATTTATTATGTGTTATTCCAACGTAATAATTAGTAATAATCTAGGGTAATAGTCACTGAGAGTATCTGTTTATTCTATCAACCACTGCAAATATTATACACATAATGAAATAATTATGATGGTATTACCTGGTTCGCATGTTGTGGTTGTTGTATCTGTTGTACAGAAACGTAGAATATATTAGACATTAAATGAAATTCTTCAACACAGATGAAAAAGTAAAACATTCCATAGAAATAAAATGTATCCAAAAGTCAAAACAAATGTGAATATTTGAATTTGTTCTGCATTATTCCAACGTAATAATCAGTAATAATCCAGAATAATAGTCACTGAGAGTATCTGTTTATTCTATCAACCACTGCAAATATTATACACATAATGAAATAATTATGATGGCATTACCTGGTTCGTCTGTTGTGGTTGTTGTATCTGTTGTATAGAAACGCGAATTATATTAGACATTAAATGAAATTCATCAATACAGGTGAAAAAGTAAAACATCCCATAGAAGATAAATGTATCCAAAAGTAAAAACAAATGTAGTAATACTACGAATGTGATTTGAGCATTAGGAATATAAGGTTACAATGAGCAAGTTATAATATGAGGTTAATAGGAGGATACCTCAAAGTATGCACAAAGACGGTACAGCGGGCGTATTGACCGACGCGCAGCGGGGGTCGATGCGACGGCGTACTGTCTGAGTGGAGTCATGACCTGAAAATACTAAAACTCGGGTAAATACATGGAAATTAAAAAAACAGACCCCACCCGGCCCCATTCTAGATATGGAACCCTGATATTGGACCATAACCAAGCACATCTATACCCCATTCTAGAAAAAACAGCTAATAATTACGATTCATACATAATAAGATTTGCATTAAGTGACCCCCGGATAAAACGCCGGCTGGCTGAAATTTCTGAAAAGAGCGTGCTACGATTCTGTAATCATCGTGGTATACACCCTCTAATAAGTGGGTCGCATTGTAAACGAGACTGTCTGTGAACAAAATTACGGGACTAAAACATCGCACGATCCAACGCAAACTCCAAAATTTATATCAATCAACACTTTTAAGCACTGAAGTGCGATTAGGAAAAGGGAAACACTGACAGTGAAAAAAGTTTCAACAAATGGTATAACTGAAATACAGCCACGTGACAAAAAAACGACTGGTTGATTAATGGACGATTGAATCGCCACGCGGGAACGCGACATTGTATTCGTTAATTTTGACGTATAATTATGCAAACATTTCCACACGCCGTCTCAAAATATAAAACGTACCAGAAAATAAACCTTATCCCAATCTTATTCTCTCTCTAATTTTCCCAGACAGACAAGTCAAACATTTTTCGTTACAGACAATTAAAAATGTCACTGTTCTATAGTTTACATAGCAGGTCACCCACAAAATCATCATGTAGACGAAGCGTGGGAAAATAACTAGAAACATTGTTGATTTCGCTTGACGTTGATCTATTATCGTTGGGCCCGTGACAGTATCCCCTAGTGCGTCAATGAAATTAAAAGCCCCAAATTGAAAATAGCATTTTGATTTCCGTTCATTTCAAAATCCTATTTCGAAAAGGCGATATTGCCACCACGAGCATAACTTTGAAATCTGCAGCTAAACTTTGAATTGTGATTTCGTGCCGCAAACTGAAATTACGTCTAAAACCAAAATGTTGGATTCCAGAAAATATTAGAAATTCACTTGGCCGTCATTAGGCACGGACCTAATAGTCACTGTGAGTATCTGCTTATATTATCAATCACTGAAAATATCATGCATATAATGAAATAAATAAGATGTAATTACCTGGTTCGTCTGTTGTTGTTGTAACTATTGTATAGAAACGTAGAATTTATTAGACATTAAATGAAATTCATCAATACAGTAGACAAGGGGGGGGGGATGTGTGAAGAATCTAAGCCCAAGTTACAGCACTGTAAACTCAATTTAAAATCAGTTCATATATTCCATTGGTTCAGCTCACGTTTTGACGTATATCAATTAAACTTAAAATAAACTAATGGAATAAGTATATTAATTTCACTAACGTGGTGTGAGCATTGGAAATATATTGTTACAACGTGCAATCATACTATTAGTAATTGTAATGAATCGATAAGGGGTTACACTTAGAAGCTAAGATAAGAAGCTGGGTAAAACATGACAAATAATATTACATAAATAAAATAGGGAGAAGATTATTGACTCTAGCGTAACTAATAATATATTACATAGAAATTTAATTTAATTTAACTAATGTATTTTGATGTTATCTATTTGATTGTGCATATTAATGATAAAACAAGTGATTAAGCAGGGATAACATCATTGACCAATTAAACAAAAGTTGTACTGATAGCCTAGCCTAGCATAAGCATTTGGCTGAATTTCAAATAAGAAACATATCTTGTTTTCGTTGCTCAAGAGATTCATAGTATGACACACGATCACTGACATTGTGAGATTTAAATTATTATCTTGTCGGTCGTGCGTTTTGTGTCAGAGTGTGACCGTGAAAAAATCAGATTAAAGATGGTTCATGTGTTTAGTTTGTGTACTTGTTGTATTATAGAAACGATTTATAGTCGTTTAATTGACCAATTTGATCAAGTGGGCATGTTATTTTTCTTAGAGTTTAATAAATGATAATTCCAGTGCTAAACCACTACAATATAAGTTACAATTTCACGAATATTCATTTGAAACTAATTTTAAAAAAGTAAGTAAGACAAATAACTAACTTGGATATTGACAGATAAATCCTTTGGGATCTTCACAATAGTCATCATCTAATTTCCACATAGATTTCCGAGACCTAGCAGGAAATGCAATGTGTGGGATATATATCGTGTTCTATATGATGTTATAACCAAAGTATGTCATATACGTCGTGTTCTATATGATGTCATAAAAAAGTATGTCATATATGTCGTGTCTTATATGATGTCATAAACAAAATATGTCATACATGTCGTGTCCTATATGATGTTATAAACAAAATATGTCATATATGTCGTGTCTTATATGATGTCATAAACAAAATATGTCATATATTTCGTGTCCTATATGATGTCATAAACAAAACTTGTTGGTACATTTATATAATTTAACCACAATTTAACAAGTTGAACATACTCTTATTAATGTTATGATATAAACATACCAAAGCTGAACACAGTCTTGTCCGTTAACATTCTTTTCAACATTGTTGTTTGGTTGTTTTATTAGCTTTCCACCAATCACGTTCAGTATGCCATCCGTCATAAGTAAGTGCATTGTCATTGCTCAACACAAATTCACCTTCATTTTGCTGGTCATTGCCATCAATCCAATATCCATTACCATTGGGATCTTGTAGCTGTACATTGTTGTTTATATACCGTCTGATTCTTTTACTTATTCCTCCTGCATTTACAACTGCCAATTGCCCATCTACATCTCCGAATGTTTCACAAAATTCCTTAGCTTTAAACCAATTTTTGTTTTGCTGGGGGAAGAACCTAAAACACATCGAAGTTTTAGAGTCACACGCATCTAAGGAAATAAAAACAAACATATTGTTTAATATAATGTTCGAAATTGAGTTGAATTGTCGTAAGTCAAGGTGCACGAGCACATAAAATGAATATATATATATACAAGACATACTGTTTTCACATTTTATTTCACAATCACAAGAAGGATACACTAAAATATGATATGCATGGGGCACATTCTGTCAGACTAAAAATGATCGATTCAAGAGTCAATTATATATTATGCTTCATACTACATTAGGGTAGTGCTCATCAAGTTGACATGACGTGTTATAGTTGTGTTGTTGTAGACAGACATACGCGTGTTGTATAATTATTTATGAGTCATACACCCTGATGTTAACCACGTTACATATGCGCAAAAATCACTTTGTTGGCCTGTTACTAACGTTCTACTTGTGCCCACATATGCCTCCAGCTATTTCGGGCAAGCAACCATATTATAGAAACAAACAGTAAAACAACAAAATAATACTTACGTTTCACGTTTTCCATCTACAATGTAAGAAAGAAGACTGTTATTACAATAGCAGAATAAATGAAATGTACGCCAATGAATCAATGGTGTATATGGTTTATATATCACTTGATGATGATATATCTTTATTTACAGATGTGTGATTAAAGAGAACAAGTCATTGACAATAACTCACCGATTCCAAGTCACTAATTTCTTGAACAGAATTACATATCAAGGCCAACACTATTGTCACAACAAAAGTGCCTTTCATGGTGGCGACGTGACTAAACGAATTAAAAATTATTTTATTTGTCTGGTTATGTTGAACACTAAATAAATATGTGCATTCGAATGTGTGATAATACCACCGTAACGCATACATCAGTGTATATATCAGTGGCGGATCCAGCAAAATGTTTTGGGGAGGGCCCCAAGCTTCGCTTAAAATATACGGAGCGTAAATCGCAGAGAAGCTAAGCGTAATCCAGATGATATGAATCGTCATGCGTTTGGGGGTGGGGCATTTATTATTGACAATGTCAAATTTCTTGTGCAAGAAGTGTATCATAGGGTTCAACTTATTTGTAACATATGGTACAATTTGAATAGCGCGTCAATGTATTCCATTGTATACATTAAATCAATATTGTGACACGAATATGCAGCAGGCCTCATATATAAAGGGGATAATACACATAAATCGTAAGATATTATAAAATGTCTTAATATTTTGATGAGGCGATTCTTGCAATACCAACGAGGACGGCATTTACCCCAAATTGATGTTAAAACCACATTGTATATATGATCCACTAAAATTAATGCGCTGTGAAACAGTTGCAAATGTAAATATTTCTGTTGAATCAATCGTTGTCCGTAAATCGTGGAAACAATACGTGCTGTTGCATGCGACCATACAGCGCGAACATTACAGTCGATGAAAGAAAACGAAAAAAACACACACATTCAGACTACAAATGAAGCATATGTTTACACAGCTAGAGAATATGACAAAACGTGCGTGAATATGACGTATCGCATACAATATGTATATACAAAGTGAGATAGAATAACATAGGAAAATAAATAGGGAAATAACTGTAGTAGAAGCATCATTCATACCAATACAAATATAAAGTTAACTTACACTCTCAACCTGTGAACGTTGCCCTGAGCGCGACGATAGTGTTACTGTGGACTCATCGGAATATACTATTTAAACATGTTAACAGTATATACTCGTGTTTTAATTATTTGATTGTGTTCATCTGTATAACGCATTCTATTGTACAGTTTCTTATTGAAGTACCGCCAATAAATACAATCAAATTGGTATTTTAAAAGCATGTTCCAAAGAAATGATAAATAACTAAAACCCATAATCGGCTGTAATCATATATGAGTGTTCCACTGTTTTGTAGTTAAAACGTAGTCATAGGATTCATGTCGACGCTTGTTTTCTTTGTCCGGGATTGCCTTACCTTTATTATATTAAAAGCTATTTTAAAATGTGCTTTATAACTCGGTTGCCGATTTACATGAAGTGTCTCAAAGTATACATGCCGACAACCGTACATTAGTTGTACATTCAGTTGTTTATTTTTAACTGTTTATTAAGAGATTTTAATAAGTGCATGTGGGTGACGTATGTTACGCTAAACATGCATGGTATAGCGCTGTATCGTACGTCACTAGCGAGAATGACGTTGCATTCATCGTGCTACGTAGCATAACATGATAAAACAACTTTCCTGTCAATCTGAAGCGAAAACAGAAACATATTTGCATTACATGACATTAAAACCAAGTCAGAATAAAATCCGATAATTTTGTCAAGAACAATCAGGACTCGTCCCTGGCTCTAGATCTGTGTGTGCCTTTTACTTCTCCGTAGTTGTCAACTAATTGCTTAGGAAAGTCATATAGTATTTCACACTTAATTTGTGGTTACCACAACAACTGGCATTTCCATCTACCTGTGGCATAGTTCGTCATTATGCCATTCAGAAGAAGATATGGTACATTTGGGTTTGAAACTTTTACTGTATCAGATTTTTACCATGTGTTAAATGAAGTGAACGCTAGAGGGTCTCTTACCCCGGCGGACTACAAAACTCATCTTTCCACGTCCAAATCCAGTATTAAGATGTGACAGTTGCTGGCGGGTAAAGAAGTCTTCATATCATTTGTGTACTTAGTAGCATGTTCTATTTCTGACCCATTTTGTCAGTGATTTTTTCGCACTTGGAACAAACCTGAACGATTGATCTCTGTCATCAAGGGGTCGGACATAATGTTGTTTTATAATAATACTACTTGCGGCTGTACAAACTATTTATACTGTACATAATGCGTGATAGTCTTCTGCATGGTAAATGTCCTTGAACAAAGTCATCACAAGAAACGGACAATTCTCAGGTCACTGACCATGAGGAAATAGACCTGAGAAGTGTCATTTTCATAACCTTCATTTACCTTCTTAGTAAGCTGTTTTACATGTTGTTAATGCACCAGGCTTGTGCTGGAAAATCCAATAATGCATTTTCACTTGACCTGTTACTGGCTGTGTTCGATATCTTATCAAAACACTGTTGATCGCGAACACATCTATCACTATAACTCTGAACTAAATGATACAGTTCTCATTGTCTGACCTTGACTAATTCTCAACCACTTTCACTTGGCTGAGTGATCGTTTTCCACTGTCATTGACTTGACAAGCATTCATAAGATGTCTTCAGAAAGTTTAAGAATGTATGATATCGACCCCTTTTAGATGGATATATACTGAGTGACTTAGTACATTTCTATATAATAACCTCTTTCACATTACATTGGTCTAAGAATTTAAATATTTCAACAAAATAAAGCCAAAATTCTATATCTAACAGATGTCATCTAGGAAAAGGACTAGTTTTGGAGTACTAGTCTAATTGTTTTAATACGTGTGCATGTCTATGTAATTTTGCATGCATATGGAGTTTACATTGGTAAGGCATGTTTATTATATGTTTATTTCCACCTGGTTTATACCCAGTATTTAGAGAACGTAATGCTGACATTGAGTAACATGCATTAAAATGTTTTTTATTTTAATAATGGTCGAAATTAGCTCAAAATTATTTCTGGGGAATTAAAATCATTACGAAAAAGATCATCTAAGATGGGGGAAAAGGTGTTTAAAATTGTGTACGTGGAATTAGTGTGTCTTTTTTTTATATAAACCATCATAATTTGTAATCCAATTTTATTCAAAACTTGCATAATTATACATTTCCCTTCTTTGAATTTGTTGGTACGTATGCAACGTGGGTTCAATCAGTATAAAATACATACACAGTATTGTAAAGTATGCAATTCACACAATCCATCCCTGTATAGTAAGAGTACTTTAACTCAATAATCAATATATTTACTATGACCGAATGTATTATTGATAAAATCTATCTGTATTTATTTATTTCAATTACAGAATACTGGATATCAATTCAGTGTTTCCATTTTTGTTTGAGAATGACAAATTTGCATACACATACAAATTTATGAATTATGATAGGATAATGTGCGTGCGTGTCAAGGTTCACATGTAAATATTTATCCTGTGTAATACGTCACGAACTGTAACATAATTATCTTATTATGTCCTATCAATAGCCATATGTGATCGTTCTTCAGTGACAATCAGTCGTTTAATACAATATATCAGTTCAAGCAAAACATATGCTCTGATATATATTAAATTTGAAAATAAGCTTGCATTTAACAAAATTATATTATCATAAAAACAGTTGTTAAGACGAATACCAACATTTTCAAAAATTGAAGTTTATTTGCGTGTAATATCAGTGGAAACCAATGCTTTGCTTGTGTTTACAATAGTTTACAACAATTTCCACCAGTACAACTATTGAAATAACTTATGATGTGCAGGTTCAATACAGATTCTCAACAGGCGTTGTGTCATATAGCGCGTATGTAACGAAGACGTGACATAAAATTATGAAAGCAGAATATATGCTACACAATAACAACAACTTTTCCTGTAACAACATTTGTCGGTTGTTATTCAAACAAGAGGCGAAGTCGAACATATTATTCTACGGTAATTCATTATTGTTTTTATAACCGCAGTCGGAATTTCTTGTTGAAATGAATTTCATTGTAAATGTAAAGCTATTGCGTCATACAAATCTTTAATTCTGATAGTCGTGATTTATAATGTACAATAATTTGAGTGTTTCCACAAATAATCGACAAAATACCCGACTTTAGTTGTACCAATATGAACTCTACACAACGTCTTCACATGAGTCAATAGAATCAAGTCCCATCCATCGTTTGCATAATTCACACACTGTTTTGTAGATTCACTCTATGGGCGATTGCTTGTTCAGATAGGAATTGATAAGAACTTCCTGAGCTTAATGCCTTGACATAACATTAAACAACATATTGTTTAGGACTAGATAACAATTAGTCAAGTACATCCCATCCAATATAAATCTCATAGAATCTTAAAGTGAAGGTGTCGGATATATAAACAGGAAATATAGTCAAATACTACCTTAATGAAGAATATAAAAAGGTCGGTATCAAATAATGCATATTATTTTTGATTGTTCCATCATCACTGATAGCTCAAAGATTCGGGGGTTTTACTGTTCTACTGCTCGGATATTACCTTGATCAATAAGACGTTCACCTCATTAACGTCTTATACATTAGTCAGTCCACTTACTGTAAATACCATCCGCCACCATCCAGCGCCTCTGGACAGAAATAAAGAACTGTTTATTTCATTACAAACACGCTTAAAAAGTTTACGCGTTTTGGAAGTCACAGACCAATCACATTATAATTCCCCTTCTGTTCATTAAAACAATCGCCAACCAGTCTCAATTTATCACACCTAATGGTACAAAAACTATAATGTAATTCCATATCAAAACATTGCTTTCAAATTGATATATTGCATACTAGACACTTTTCAATTGATTCACATGAGGTTAAAAAATGTTCTGTGGTTGTCGACTTCATCACATGGAACACTACAATAAAGACTTTCCGTTTTTGACATTCTTCCGTTTGTTGGGGGAAAATCAGAAAAAAAAACAGTTTTTGATAATTCAGAAATTTATATTATAAATAAATAATAAATATGCACCCATAAATAAATTTAATAA